CCTATTACTGTTGGTACTATCTTTGCTTTCTTTTGCCACAGTCGCTCTACTTCTATTTGCAGATCTTTATATTTTGTGATTGTCTCCAGTTCTTTCTCTTCTATTCAGCTGTCTCGTGGTGGTGGTGGTGGTGGTGGTATTATTATTATTATTATTATTATTATTATTATTATTATTATTTGCAATTGCAGCCAGAAAGCCACAAAACCCATTTTAGCATAAGCATGTGATGTGAAGCCAAAACATGAGAGAGTCATGCCATTTTGTTTCTGGATATTATTTATTTCATATAAAAACATCAAGAATTTGGGAAAGAGTTCATGGGAGGAAGTTTGACTATAGGAAGAGCTCAGCTTGTCAGTTACATATACAGTATATCATTCTAGAATATAAAGCAAACATAATAGGAATTCTGAAAAAAATGTACTTCCATATACTTAGCAGGTAAGTACTTGCAGCAGTTTTATGCATTAACAAATTTGGGTATGGAAATATTACTGCTGGCACAGCATCAAAGGAGTAACGTTTTGGATATATTTTGTTTTCAATCCCATTTGCTTGAAAACAGGACTCAGTTCTGAATGCCTATCCGTTTGCCATTTGTTCAGACTGACACGTGTGTCTATTTGTCATTGTTAGGAATAGAAATCCCAGATGGGAAACTGCTCAAAACCCCAAATTCATATGACTGAGGCAAAACAATGGTACGCCTGCGCTAGAGAAACTGTTGCGGGGCTGTGTGCCGCTCCCAAACTCCCTGATCCTTAGATTTAGGAAATATTGCCACCTAGTGCCACAAGATCTCACTTAAGCATTTTGATTAAACATTGTAAAGCAATACTGCACCCCTGAATTTCTGGTCATTCTCAGTATGAGGTTATCAAGAGGATCTTTCAATGAAATATTATTCCTCTCCTTTGAGTGGAATACACTTGATTTCAAGCAAAACGTAGCAGAATTATGATGAGAACAGATGATGACATTCTGACGTATATTTCAATCACAGCTTTTAAAAGTTTAAAATACTAAAAGGATGTAAACTGCATGGGCCATGACCCTAAAAACCATTACCAAATGTTTTCATATATTATATGTCTGCTTAAGCATTATAATCTGATTTTCAAGCAACTGGAAGGGACAAACATTTGATCCGAAAGCACGCTTATGAGGAGTGGAATTCCACTGGATGCAATAGAGTTACATAATAAAAATATTAATTGGGGAATTAATTTCTACCTAATGTCTTGAGGATATTGTAGTAATTAGGTTGTTAACCAATGAATATACTTGAATAAACATGGCAAGATAGCAGTGGATCTGATCTTTTGAATATATTTAATGAAAACAGCAGCAATTCTTGTCAAAAATTATCCCACAGACATTTTAAGTATTACTTGGCAATAAGCTGATATGCATACATTGGTTTTATCAAAAGATGCATGTTGTTTTTTATTAATTCATTGCCACTGTACACTGTTCTGTGAAAAGCAAATACTTTATAGATGGATGTGTCCTTAGAAATAAGTCCCACTGAGTTCAGAATTGCAGCTGGAACCCAAAAATCAACTCCAAATGTATGTGATCAGTTGATTGCCAATTTATTTTGGGATGTTCCAATTATTATGTCATTCTTTGGAAGGTAAGATACACCATTCTAATTTATCTGAGAACCTGTAGGCCGCATCAGGGTATTTTTTCACTTGAGCATAGCGAGTGAGTTTGGGAAGCTATCCATATCTGAATAAATGCACCTTGCGCTAAAATAATTAAATTATGTTCCTTTTGTGGCAGAATGATTATGGGAAATGCTTAATAGATTTAGAAAAAGCGATACTTAAAAAGTTCTGAAAACAATAATTAACAGAGAAAGGGAGAAAGACTGGGTTGGCATAACCCACTAAAGCAAAATTAACCAACCATATTCTAGCTCAGCAAATTTGGCAAGCAGTCAGTGATGGTTAGGGACAGATCATCATAGAGAAAATCTGTCTTTGTGGTCGCTAAGAGTCAACAACGACTTGATGGCATGAAATCATCATCATCATGTTATAGAAATGTAGAAAATAGTTTAATTGAATAAATTATGATTAAATGAACCATTTAAGAGGGTTATCTGACAGTAGGTAAAAAGACTACGGCTCAAGATATTTAATATCCTTTCCCCCATTTAAATGATCACCAGATGATGTTACCTAGCAGTGAAGAACAGCTGAAGTTTGATCAGAACCTGCTAGATCTATATTGCTCTAAACCTGAGCCAGAGGTATGTGATCACCCATAAGCTAACCTGTATATCAAATAGACTGGGGTGTTGCCTTTCAAGATCCCTTTCAACTTTGGACACTGCAGAAGAGAACTTCTTGTTAAAATAAGAAATTGAGTCATCCTGCATTCAAACCATCTTCAGATCAGGGATATGTCTAGAATATCAGCAGAGTTAGGGCAAACTGAGAAAAGTCTAAGTCATTTTCACCTTGTTCATATATGTAATCCAACATCAGTTCATACTGTACCATCCAGAAATGGCAACCACTTGGTTAACCTTAGAGAAGCCAGACCATGGTTAAAGGGACACCCTGGAGCAGTGATGGCAAGCCTTTTGGGCTTGATGTGTAAAAAATTCAGGACATGCCTAACTTGACTCTGCTGGTGTGTCAGCCCCCCTCCCCCAAACAAAAGAGAATTCTTTACATATTCATTCGTTTAAAAAAAAAATACAGTCCAATCATGTGTGGTGCTATGTATTATATAAAAAAACATCAAATAATTACTAAAATGAAATACGAGTAAAACAAACTCAGTTTCTTTGGTAACTCAAACAGGGAGGATAGTTGTTGTTGGGTGTTGGTGAATGCTGTCACCCAAAACGTTGTGGCGGGACACCTTTGACATGTATATCATAGGTTTACAATCCCTGACCTAGAGGAATCCCTTTCCTATTACTCATCCTGGTTGCTGTATTATTTTTTGAGCTATATATGCCTTTCCTCCATGAGCAAAAAGCCTCATATTTAATCCCTCTCCCCCCATTTTTAGAATTTTAAGCAACAGATCTAACCCAAAATGTGGTTTGTAGATTTTTTATTTAGCATAATGTATGAATTCATTTTCATGCCTTAGAGTTATGTATGAACCAGGCCTCTATAAGCTATTCATCAAACCATAGTTAAAGAAATCCAGGCTTACCTTTATGTTGGAATCCTGCTATAGAATCCAAGGTGGGTGCCAAAACCAGTTCTCTAATTCCCGTTGTTAGCCATGGCCATTCTAAAGTGACTGGTTTCTGTCGGTACCGCCTCTTTTCCAGCAGTACCTTATTTGACGTCCAGCCTCTAAACCTGGAGCGTGAGAAAAAGAGGTCTCTCATGCCTGTGTGGTCTTTCTGGCAATCTCTCTCTCGCAGCGCAACTCACCGCACAGGGTTGTTGTTGTGCTGCCTTGAGTTCTTTATAAAAATAATAAAAGTGGGATAAAAAAATCTAAAAAAAAATTAAAAGGTCAAAAAGCCAATTGCGTATAAAGCAACTTCCGGGCGCTATAGTGATATAAACCGGAGTGGCTGGTTTATATCACTATAATATCTAGGGGGTTCAGCGCTTCCTTCTTCTCTGCGAGATAAACAAATCTTACCACAAGTAAACAAAAACCAAACTTTATTTTAAAAAATAAAAGATAAAATGTACGGTATATATATATTTTAAATATTTAATATTAAAAAGCAAACATTCAGTGTTGAAGAAGATAAATTGCAGAATTGCCCAAGTCATGAGAAAAACAGCTAGTAAATTACATAAATCAAAGAAAAATCCAAAAAATATATTGTTCTGGACAGACTACAAAATGTCAGTGAACTACTCTGAAAAGAGAGTATTGCAAATTAATATTACAGATTATGAAGAGATTCTAAAGAAGAAAAATATATCCCAGCCTGAAGATAGAATCAAAGCTGCAAGTTGAACAACCAATTTTATAAGTGGTACAGAGAAAAAAAAGACTGGAGATCTTAAGACATTAGCACTACAAAATCAAATCTTGCAGAGATTCCTGCTTAGAAGTTTCACCTGTATCTATAGAAATAGGAGTCTCCTACGCGGAAGTTTCCTTTGCTTCCTTGGGTTTCCACCACATTCCTGGAAATTCTAAACTTTAACCAGAGGCTGTGGGAAATTATTGCAGTCTCATGTTTTTTCCAGTTTTGATAAACAGACTTTCCCTTGGTTTTACAACGATCGACCTTTTTCTATGTCGAGCAAAGGGACAGGCTGGGATAGCTGTCTCTGTGAGTATATAACAAAGAGTATCTGACCCTCCTGGGGCTAGGCTTACAACAGGAATATATACATAAAAATGATGGAACAAATACATTTTCATGCAATGGGAAAAATCCAAAAACAGATCTGTTAATAAAACTTTAAAATAATTGGCATCCGATTGCTGAACTGGTTTCTTGTGAGGTTGGGATAGATAATGTGCCAGTCACTTAACTTTGATTAAGAGTTAAATGGCTACAGAGCAGTGGAACTAGCCCTCCTTTCATTTAATTGTTCTTACTCTTTCTTGTAACCATAATTATGGATAAATTTTATATCCTCACCAACATTAAACACAACTGGATTCATACAACACCCTGAAACACCACCTAGCCACCACAATTTGGTCTGTAGTGTGAACATGCATGCAGATGACTGAAATTTGGTTGGATAGCTAATAACCTAGAAGCAGATATACAATTTAAAATTATATTGATAGTTATAAAAATGGGATGAAAATAACAGAAATGTATCAGAGACAAGTGCTAAATTCTTCATTTGGGTAATAAAATTCACATGCACTGTGGGTGCCTAGCTTGGTAACATTACTTATGCAGAAGATCTTGGAATAATACAGTAGTCGTTGCAAACTGAATTATGAGTCAGCAGTGTGGCATGGCTACAAAAAAGACAAAATATAATTTAGGGTGCATCAATAGAAATATAATTTTCAAATTGCAGGAAGTAAAAGTTCCATTTTATCCTACTTCTGTCCACCTTCACCAGTTCTGGGCACCACAGGGATAAAGTCCTGTGAAGAGAGACTAAAAAAAATTAACCCTGAGAAGATTAAACTAAAGAGGGACATGTTAGCGTTCTTCACATACCTGAAAGGAAAATGCACAAGTAGTGGTTAAGACCTGTGTTCCATTGTTCCAGAAAGACATAGCATAATGGAGCCAATATGCAGGAAACCAGATTCCACTTGAATGATAGGAAAAGCATCATGTTCTACTGTGCTCTAACCTGAGCACAGCGGCGTGTATTAGTGTACATGTGCTTCACATTTCTCCTGCCTCTGGTCCTTGGGTTGCTTCCAAAGGAGTTTATTGTGATATTTCCTTGTCCCAAGAGAATTGGGGGGGGGGGGGGCC